CTTCAGAAATCATTCTAATATACTGATTTGCTGCTCGAGAAACATTTCTGATTATTATCAATGTTGAAAACAGTTGTGCTGCTTCATTTGTTTGCTGAAACCCTGACACACCCCCAAATGTTTCAGATGTTTGGGGTAAGAATTTTTAAAAGTTGTCAATTATTAGAAATGTATCCATCTATCTATTAGGGGTGCTACGATCAGGATTTTTGAGGCCGATCACAGAAAGCAGTGTCTGCCGATACGATTACCGATGCCGATCTTTTTAAAGCCTTTTTATCATGTAGAATGATTTATAGTGATGATCCAATCAAGATTTTTAGACATTTATTCAGGGTCTGAATTTCAGTTTTGAAAATTAATTCCCCTCTTAGGTGACTCTTGTGAGAGGGTTTTTTTTTTTATTTGAGGGGTGGAGGGGGCATTTTTTTTTTTGACATTTTTCAAAAATATACATTTATCTCACCTAAATGTTTGATCATGCACTGTATTTTTGTTTTGACAATCGTGCAATTGTTGCACAATAGCTTACACACACACGGACTGTGCTTTCACACAGGAGTCTGCAACTGATCTGTGGCTGTTTACTACAAACACAACATTTATCCACTATTTTGATTTCAAATCCAAACATTGTTACCCGAAAATGCTTTTTCAGCATTGTGATTATTTTTTACACCGTACAGTATAATACAATCTTTCATAGACTTGTTTAAACGCAATAAATATAAGAAACACATCAATGCTTTTTACTTTTGCATTTACTTCTAGATTTACATATTAAGTTGCTCAAGCAAGTGGCAAAATATTTAAAGGGGTCCTATAATGCTTTTTCATTTTTTCAACTTTAGTTAGTCTGTAATGTTGCTGTTTGAGCATAAAAAAGATCTGCAAAGTAATCCCAGCACACGCTGGCCCAGCTAACCAATCCCAGCACACGCTGGCCCAGCTAACCAATCCCAGCACACGCTGGCCCAGCTAACCAATCCCAGCACACGCTGGCCCAGCTAACCAATCCCAGCACACGCTGGCCCAGCTAACCAATCCCAGCACACGCTGGCCCAGCTAACCAATCCCAGCACACGCTGGCCCAGCTAACCAATCCCAGCACACGCTGGCCCAGCTAACCAATCCCAGCACACGCTGGCCCAGCTAACCAATCCCAGCACACGCTGGCCCAGCTAACAAAATCACAGCACATTTCGTATTTCAGAAGGCGGGCCTTCATTTGATACAGGAACTATTCGAGCCGTTCATGCCAGACTGGGGAGAGAGGTGTTGTAATAATGTAAAATGTGAAAAATAATGTGTTTTTCAAATCAACCTAGTATGAGAGCCTGTTCTAGCACACCCCCAAAACAAAATCAAGACTTCATAAAAGAGCATAATAGCACCCCCTTAAACTACTTTTCTTACATTATCACAAACATTCTAAATGAAAACATACCGCTGACAGAAACAGTCAGCTCTACTGCCTTTTCTTTTGCATTTAAATCTTAATTAATTTAGCATTTAAAATTACAAGCAATCCTGCGTTTATAAAGAACTTTCGTTTTCCTACCTCCACGAATGCCATCTATTATTGCCTTATCTAAAAGTGCTCTTCTCCTTTAAACCTAGCCAAAAAGCCATAGCCTATGTGTTGATTATTAAACACAGTAAACTTTAATTATATGCATCTATGGTGTAATTACTACATTTTCATGTCAATCCATGTTCATATTTACTGCAAACAATGCGCTGTTACTTTAATTCAGCGCTTGCAGCGGAAACAATCGCTGCACTGCAGCAGACGCACCGCTCCTGGAACGCACTGCAACCGTGTGCAGTGTGAACGCTTTAATCCATTAACATGAGCGTGGAAAAAATACTCACCGCATACGCACTGCAACTTGGCATTATGTGTGTGCGCTGCGAGGTGCATGAGCGCACGGTCTCCAGGAGAGCGCGCGAGCACTGAATGATTAAACACTGGCAATAATTAAAAAGAAATGCAATTCATAAACTTTAGTGACAATGCGACACTGCCTCGATTGTGCAAGTGACAATTCCTGTGTCAACTGTGCAGCTCGTTTATAGTGCAGACGCGATGTGATTTAAAGTCATTTGCGTACATAAAAGAGCATAATAGCACCCCCTTAAACTACTTTTCTTACATTATCACAAACATTCTAAATGAAAACATACCGCTGACAGAAACAGTCAGCTCTACTGCCTTTTCTTTTGCATTTAAATCTTAATTAATTTAGCATTTAAAATTACAAGCAATCCTGCGTTTATAAAGAACTTTCGTTTTCCTACCTCCACGAATGCCATCTATTATTGCCTTATCTAAAAGTGCTCTTCTCCTTTAAACCTAGCCAAAAAGCCATAGCCTATGTGTTGATTATTAAACACAGTAAACTTTAATTATATGCATCTATGGTGTAATTACTACATTTTCATGTCAATCCATGTTCATATTTGATTGTGCAAGTGACAATTCCTGTGTCAACTGTGCAGCTCGTTTATAGTGCAGACGCGATGTGATTTAAAGTCATTTGCGTATTTTGAGAGGGAAAGAGCGCACGCTGTGATTCACTCACGCTGTTTGTGAAATTATACCTCACAGAAAGTTTTCAAATTACTTCATAGGTTATTTAATGAAGAAATATGAATTGTACATCACCTAAAGCATTATAATCGTTTTACCCGCGCCAGACAGAAACTGAGACGGTGCCGCTGCATGTCTGCCAAACCTCTCACAGCAGGCGCATCATCAGATCGGTTTTTTGAGATCGGCCTTTTTAGAGACCGCCGATCAATCATCCCAACGTGATTATCGGCCGATAGTGATCGATAGCCGATCAAGCTAATCTACAAGCCCAGAAAAAAAAGCATCACTGTTTCCACAAAATAAATAAATGAATATTAAAAAATAAGCAGCAAATTCAGTTTCCAATAATTGTTTCCTATGATCCCAACACTGAAAGAACCATTATTATTAATAATAAAGCACCAATAATAATTGAGCAGCAAATCAGCTTATTAGAATGATTTCTGAAGACTGGAGTAATGCTGCTGAAAATTCAGCTTTGATCACAGGAATAGATTACATTTTAAAACGCATACAAATAGAGCAGTTGTTATAAATTGCAATATTTCACTAGATAACTGTTTACTATATACACATTTAAATAAGTGCAACCTTGTGGAGCAGAAGAGACTTCTTTCAAAAACCAAAGAAAAAACAAACAAAAAATAGCATTGTAATTCTTCCAAGCGTTTGACCGGTAATGTATCATTTCAGAAGTAATCACCCATTTTTTCATAGATGTCCTGAGCACTTCCTCGGACCACAGCCAGGTCATCAAGAATCGCCTGATGTCCTTCCTGCACTTCTGCACTCTGATCCTTCAGCTGCCCACTTACATTCTCTGAAAACGTGTAATGGAAATGAAACAAAGATATAAAACATTCTATAGCAACTGGCGGTCAAATATGACTAAGATATGACCAGTTAAGTGACATATAGCATTAAAGGATTAGCTCAGTTCCAGAATAAAATCTCCTGATAATTTACTCACCCCCATGTCATTCAAGATGTTCATGTCTTTCTGTCTTCAGTCGCAAAGAAATGACGGTTTTTGAGGAAAACATTCCAGGATTTTTCTCCATATAAATGGACTTCAATGGGGACCAACGGGTTGAAGGTCCAAAGTGCAGCTTCAAAAGGCTCGACACGATCCCAGCCGAGGAATAAGAGTCTTATCTAGCGAAACCATCGGCCATTTTCTTACAAAAAATAAAAAATAAAAAATAAATAATAATAATAATAATAATAATAATAATATAGCTCCGCGATGCGCGTCCGCAAATACGTAATCACGTTGGAAAGGTCGTGCGCGGTTAGCTCTTCGTCTGTGTGCTCCGGTTCAAAAAGGAAGGGTAGAGCGAAAAACTCACCTCATTTTCTCCTCCAACTTCAAAAGCGTCCGACATCATTGTTTTACCTTCGTAAACACTGGGTCGGTGCTTCCGCCTTCGTCACGCGAGACCTTTCCAACATGACTACATAATGCGTGAAGTCGAGCTAGTGCAAGATGTGCATTTGTGGTTAAAATTTATATATTTTTTTTTTAAGAAAATTGCAGATGGTTTCGCTAGATAAGACCCTTATTCCTCGGCTGGGATCGTGTTGAACCTTTTGAAGCTGCACTGAAACTGCACTTTGGACCTTCAACCCGTTGATCCCCATTGAAGTTCATTATATGTAGAAAAATCCTGAAACACTTTCCTCAAAAACCTTAATTTCTTTGCGACTGAGGAAAAAAAACAAAAAAAAAAACAGACAAGAACATCTTGGATGACATGGAGGTGAGTATATCATCAGGATTTTTTTATTCTGGAAGTGAGCTAATCCTTTAGCAAAGTTACTATGAAGATATTAAACCACTGATAAAGTGAGAATTCACAGGTCACCTTTGAAGCAAGTGCATTTATCTATGACTGACCCATTCTCTGTGTAATGCCCTGAATTAACTGAGCCACCAGTTGCTGCCCGGTGCTGATGAGAACTTTCTCCTGTGCCAGTCTCTGCAGATTTTCACTGATGGAGGTATCCAGCTGCTCTTGCCCTTCCTTTAGGGCCCCTTGCTGGAGCTGTAGGGCGCTGTGACCCTCAAGCAACTTGTCCAGTGACGCGGCAGTCATTTCCCTCAGCTCTTTCTGACCCTCCTGCAAGTCAAGTCAACATGAAAGTGCATTCACAACCCATATTACCCATAATATGAGGTTTCAGAATGAGACAGAAGCACCCAAGCGACCTTTCTTTGGAATAAATATGACATGATTGTGCACAATAAGACCAGGAGCAAAAGAAACATGAAATTAAGATCTTTATAACACACCTTTAGGTCTTTCATAGCATCTAGTTGACTAGTTGCGGTGGAGATCAGGGCGTTGACGGTTAGCTCCGCTCGCTTGCGGAAGTGCTGCTGGCGCGTGGCGTAACACACAGAGCGTGCTCGGTTACTGACAATGTGATATGCATTCCACGTATCCGAGTCCATGTCCGCTGTGCACTCTTTAATAGACTGCAGGGAGAGACAATATTGGTTTAATCAGACTCAATGAATTCCACATGTAAAGCGCTACACAACTAGAACTGCTTGTGTTGACTGACAATGACAAGTATTTCACTTACAAACAGATCAGCAGATTTAGGACCTATAAAACTGCAAAGTTGTGCCCATTGACCATACCATTTCTTCAGTGCAAGGGTAAGTCCTGCGACCCTCCACCTCTGATTGGCAGTTGAACAAAGCCACACCCAGTTTGGCCAGCTGCTCCTCTGACAGGCCGCTGCAAGTAGCTTTGAGCTGAGCAACAACCTATAAAAAAAAATATATATATATATATAATATACATGTGTCTATAAATTAGAGATCGACCGATATATCGATTTGCCGATATTTTTCCCAATATTTAAGCATTTTACAATAATCGGATATCGGTTTTGTAATATCGGATTCGCCGATAAACGCCGCCATCTTGTGGATGTTTTGAGAATCGCCATTGCACCATGGCGTCTGAGGGGAGAGGAGACAACAACAACGGCGTGCACAGGTACTTGATTTGCTGTAGTTAGACGAAACAACAACAACAGCATGCATTGGTAAAGCATACGCACTTGCTTTGCTGTAATTAGTAAACTTCATAACAGCCATTAATGCACATATTAGATGTGTTTCATAAATGCCTGAAATGTAGCTAGTTTATGCAGCTTGTCTCTAAGAAATAGAGACGAGCTCACGGAGTCACGTAAGATAATCCGTCAAGTCCTGTCCCAATAAAGATGTAACTTTGCATGAATTAAATAATATGCAGCCATGAATGGGCGCATGTTGGAAATAAAAGTTCTGAATTTAATTCTCTCTCTGTTGTCTACATGCTCATCGTCTCATGAAGGCGGAGTCACATAGATAATCCGTCAAGATCCTCTCCCAGTAAAGACGTAACTTTGCATTACTTAAATAATACAGCCATGAATGAGCGCATGTTGGAAATAAAAGCGCTGAATTTAGTTCTCTCTCTGTTGTATATTTGCTCATCATTAGTCTCGTGAAGTCTCGTTTCATATTGCTGTTCACTCACCGGGTTGATGCTCAGGAAATGCTCCAGCACGGCCAC